AGACTCCCTGAGCACAGCATGTGTTTTCAGTTTGAGAGCCCCCAGGTGAACAGAAGATTCCTCCCAAGTGGAAATGTGACATTGTAGCACATGTGTGTGATGACCGGAAAGAAAGAAATGTCACCAGATCCAGCAGCTGGCATAAAGCCAAACATACATCCTGTAGGGCAGACCTGAGTGGGCTCCCTCTAATCAAAACCTGCAGGACTCCCTGGGAGTCTCGTACCTTCACTGTAATGATAAGGGTGCTGCAGTTCAGACCGACTCAAAGGGAGGCTTGACTTCCTCCCACCTATTTGAAGAAGATCCCTTTAAACAAAGCACACCACCGCCAACGGAACCGCGTCAGCATGACCAGGAACCCAGTGTCAGTGTGAATGTCGGGCCGCAATGCCAGGTTTTCATACTTGCCAAGTATTTAAAGTGGGAAAGTTGTCATAAGCAAAATGGAGTCAGTCACCTGGGTCCACCCAAACCAAGGTGGGAGTGAATGAAGGAAGGGTTCTTACTCACCATGGCCAGAGACTAACTAACCATCACCAAAGACTCCCAGAACCTGGTGCTGGCTCAATGGTGACCACAACCTCCTACAAAATGCACTCGCGCAAGGACATCTGCCCAAACCACAAGGCAACAATTCCTTTGCTACTGGTCACTGTGGAAAGACATTGTCATGTCTAGTTTCCATGCATCATCCTCGTCTTTGTCACCTTGCAGAACGTCCATTGCTTGACCTCACTCTTGGAATCTGCACGCAGTTTGCTGAGGCCCATGAATTTCCGCTGCAACCTTGGCTCTTCCAGTGCCGTGCTATTCCCAAATGCGCTTCCTGTTGACTCTACTCTGCCCTCTCTGGACACAGAGTATTCGTCAGGAGTGGACAGAGGCTGTCTGGGGAACTGAATTGAACCCTGATCCACTGGAGTTTTGTCTTGGTCCCTGCATTACTCCAGGGCCTCATGGTGCTCAAGTCTTTCCCGTGAGAGCCAGAGATAGCCCAGGGTGTTGCTAAACTGAAAAGAAAGACATGACAGATACCTCGGGCACTTTTGTGCACACAGATTTCTCGTGCTTTTTGTTGACCAGCATGTGTCTGACTCAATGCTTGCTTTCACCTCTGGTGGTCCACCAAGGGGGATACATCAGACCACTGCTGGTGCCTGGCA